TGATATAATTTCCATTTCTAGCTAGTTCTATATTAGCCAGAAACTGGCGTCCTCCAAATAGAGAACGATAATCAAATTCCAAGTCCTTCCACAAATCATGGCCTTTACCGTAGTGGGAGTCTTTACCACGGCTTAACAGTTTTTTGAAAGATCTTCTGATCTTTCGTCCTCGTCCAACTGTAGGGCTGCGATCCTCTTTTCCATCTGTCGATGCCTTAGAACATCCGGACAGTCTCGCATCCAGTGCCCGGACTTGTGACACAGTCGGCAATCACCAGCTGGGGTCGAGAGGGCAGGGCTCACAATTGCGGAAACGAGCGGAGACGGGGAACGGAGACGGACATTGGAAAGACCAGTGCCGGAAGTCGAGGGACCGACAAGTGAGCTCAGTCGCCAATTGTCCTTCTTGAGAATTCCGGCGTAGCGGTTACGTCCTCGATCTTCGGCAGGAATAACAACCGCCTTGCGGGCCAGCTGGCTCTCCTCGAAAGCGATGTTGCGAGATTCGCGATCAGCGATGGCTAGGAATTCGTCCAAGATCGCGTAGTTACCATTCATCTTGTACTTCTCGATCCTGACATCTCGTTTCAAGGCCGGGGAGATTTTCTCACAGACATCCTCAAACCAACGGGATCGCGCAATCTTAGCAGTACTCGCATAGTTTGTGAACTTTTTGCGGAACTCGTCGTATGTCATGTTGCCCATGATAAGTTGTTGGTACTTGGATTTTGCAGCTTGCACATGATTATGGTCAAAAAAACGTTGATCCAATGCTTTGAGGACATTTTCTGCTCCATCAAACACTCCTCCGAAGTCGGGATCCATATGCTGCAGGATGATTGTCTTCGCTTCTCCTCCTGTACACTTGAAGTATGCCCTAACTTGGGCTTGCCCCTGTCGGAAGTTCCCCGAAAACTCTTCGAAGAAAAGCTTCATTTCCATCTTCCAAGCATCGTATCCAATGTCGCCCAGATGGTCAGTAAACACACTTCGCGGGTATTTGACTCGGTGTGACTCTACAGCGGCGATCAAAGGATCAAGTACAGGCAGATAGTAGTCAACCGAAGGTTGAAGATCAGCCGTGAGGGCGCGAGGGGTCGTTCGAGCCTCGGTGGTTGGCGACTTGCTTGACTGAGAATTGGCGAGCGCTGCGGCGACGATCTGACCTATTGTCGCTTGCTGAGCTAAGGTGAAGTCAGACATTTCTTCAACTTCCCTATCTTCTTTCAGTGTATCCTCAGTGGTCTGTAAAGGCAGATCAGTGCTGCTAGGAAAATCGTAACTCGTAGGCGTAGTAGTTTCTCGTGCGCTTCGACGCGTTGACATACGTGGAAGATGGAATATAGAGACCGTTTTTTGTGTATGGCAATCGAGTTAGCGAAGTTCCGAGGCAGAGAAAGAACGCTACAGAGGTAGGCGCAACTTTAATAATTTTCCGGCTTGCTCCGGAGACACTCCAATCAGCGAACTGACTAGAAGGCACCTACTTGGAATGGTAGGCAAGAAGTCGTTGGTTAAGTCGTGCAGCAGAGGTGCGACGACGCAGTTAATGACTGGCAGATAATATGCTTCTCAGCAAAGGTTGTATTGGTCTTTTCTTATATTACGACCGACCTCAGGTTGACACTAGAAGACTCCCTCGAAATATAAAAGAGTAATTGCTTTGTATTTGGACCTAAAGCTACGCACGATAACTAAAAGAAAAGACAAGGAGAGAAAGAGGTCTGCAGCCTCGCTGGGCTGAAAACTCTACCAGCTCGCTTCCGGGACCAACGCTTACTCAGCCACACTCCACATCACGTGATACCATAAACCTATCATCTGTAAACTCAAGCCGTAACACATTGTTTTGCGCTGCGGGATCCCAAAGCGAGTGACGGATATTGAAGTCTCCTGCTAAGATACTTGGGGACTGTGTAAGAGACTACAGACTGGCAAGCCCTGCTCCTGCGTCCACAGAACCAGTTGGGGCATTGTATAGGTTTAAAATATTTACTGCACGTTTGTTCTTCCGTCGAATACAGACTTGAAGCAAATCTCGGGATTGTATAGCTGGCTGGAAAGGAGATAGACCAACACCTTTGCGGGTGTAGGTGATGACTCGGGGTCTGGCTGTCCAGTTGAGAGTTGGGGTAAAAGTAGAAAAACTTGGGTGTGTTTTAGTAGCTTTGCATGTAAAGTCGGAAAAAATCCATGGTTCCTGGATTAGTACGATGTCTGGTCCTGCTTGATAGGCAAGTTCAAAAGCTGTGTCGTGAGCAGGCCCACGTTTTTCAGCATTGACCTGCAGTACGCAAAGACCAGCAGATTCCTGCTCTCTACGTGTATGTCTAATCAAAATTTATCTTCCATGGTGATCAAGGGGGTAAATCTGGATCCAGATACGATAATAGCAGCAGAAGATGTAGGACTACCTTCGAGCGTGGCTCTAGTTTGCTGAGTTGTTTCTACCTCGGTGGGAGGAAGTGGGGGAGGATTGAGAGCGACCCAGACCCTGTGACCCTCTTGTCTGATAGCCTGGAGCCTATTTTTGTGTGGTCGTATAAAGACACCGTTCGCGCGGAGTGGACGAGCTGGGCAGTCGGGTGATGATGCCTGGTGAGGCCCAGCACAGTTTAGACACTTGACTGGGGTAACACATGGCCCGTTATGAGAATCTGCTGCGCAGATGCCGCAGCGAGCGTGCCTGTTGCATGCATTAACGTTATGGTAGCCGTGGCATCTAGGACATACCTGGAGCTGAGGTCTATTATCAAGAGGCTTTAGCCTTATGGCTCTAGCAAATAGACGGAGGTGTGTTGGAAGCTTCGAGGTGGCGGAGGGCGAAACTACGAGACGAAGAGTCCCATCTCCTTGGGGAGATGCTAAAGATCGACGGGTCTAGCTCATGGAGTTAATTTTTGTGGTATCCATGTTTGCAGACTTTAATTCTTGCCGAATTTCTTCGTCTGAAAGTGGCTCGTGAACCCCGGATGCGTTGTATCTTTATCTTGGAACTGGTCCGAGAAGATAGTGGAGCCTTTTTCCTGTCGCTTTATCTGAGCATTTCCAGTAATTGGCTGTAGGGCTTGAGCGGCCTGTAGTAGCTCTGGAGCTTGGCTCGCCGAGGGGGCTACTAGGGCAATACCGGATGGAACATTCCGAATATCTTTGATGAGCTCTGGTCGGTCCAATAGTCCTTGGAGCCTAGAGCGGACCAGAAGTGTGTCGTGGAGACGTAGAGGGTGGTCGGTAGGGAGACGAACAATCACCCTAGTGTCGATCTTCGGTGTTTTCGCTCATTTCTTGCCCTTCTTTGGGTGGGTTTTTGGTGCGAAACCAGTATCTTGGGCCGGCGCTGGTGGGCCAGATTTTGATACATTGGCGTACGTTAGCTTTGTGGCGGTTTTAGCTGGTGCTTGGCGGGCTGGTACAGTCATCTGGTGTGAGTGAGTCTGTTGGAAATGGAGACACGGAGTGTTGTGGACGTACGGGCCCTCCATTTCGTCTAGGTTCCCGACACGATCTCGTGTGTATTTAAGAGGTTGGAACAGGTAATATGGTAGCGCTTCAGGCTACCTATTGGATATATGAGCGGCTGTATGGCGTGGGCGCAAGGAGGTTATTGGGGGTTTTCTATGCCTAGATGGCGCCACACTCGTTTATGCTGTGGCTTAGGCTCTGTGTCGCTTACACTTATACTTGTAGCGCACACTTCCCACACTTTTAGCTGTAATCCGAACATAACACTCTTTTAGTCAACTTCTACTTTCGTTCCATGAATATTGCGCCCATTTCATTGCGCGATATTTCCAACAAATACACGCCCTCGCAGATATTCAAACCCGACAGAGGAAACAAAGCGTTGCGCACAAATGTGTGAGACAGCTGTTGGGATAGAAGTGAGAGGGGTCAGGACAAGTTCACGAGATGATGCAAAGAGAGTATATAACCTCGACGGATATGTGGTTATGAGTTTTGGCGACGATCTTTACGGATTTGGCTTTTTGCGCGCCAAGACTTGACTTGCAAGAGTGCAGCTGAAACTATAAGTTCAAGCCATCGATAAGAGGTTCCGCGATCTTCATTCTGGTGGTGTTCTTCGGTATGGTTCGAGTAGCCTAGGTACCTACTCCACTTGGGAAAGAGGTATCTCAGATCACATTTCACGTGGAGAAAAGTTAATGGGTGATGAAGGCATTTCTGGATATCTCAGGGGTCTCGAGATATTCCTCTGGGTATGTATTCACGGATGAGGGTTGACTTGGGGCCAAGAAAAAGCCACCATAACTTTTCAGTGGTACTTGCAAATGAAATCCGAGGCACGAGTGCTCTTCCCTTATGTTGAGCCATCTATCACGAACTTTTCTTTGATATTGTGTCAAAGCTTGATAGATGCACACACAATTAAAATATGATGCACATGTAACTCTGATATTGTCAATCAAATAGACTCAGTCAGGATGTTTGAGAGAAGAAGTACTTGTGCATGTCTCTCAAGCTATGTCTCATCTCTATGTATATATATCACATCCCTCAGACTCCGATCTCACCCTTTGTCCTTAGTCTAGACTACTTTACTTTTAAATCCTTTGACAATGCCGAACCCATGTCAGGAACTGAAAACATGAAATCCCTTTCATTGGATTTCCCAAAACTGACTCGGCCTCCAGTCAATATCATCTCTCTTCCCGGCTTTCCACTAACTCCGATACATAACTCATGTGAATACTACCTTACCAATTCACCAGAATAAATAATCATAAATTCAATAATATGTAACCCAAACAAAAGAACATTCAGCTCAACAGATATATATTCTTGTTAGAATTTAGAATAATTGGGGCTATCAAGTAGGCCACGTTGTTGGTACACACGTGACTACAAATTCTATACTTAGTTTCACTTCGGCAGTTGCTTGAATCAACGCGCTCTACAACCTCAATGACTGAGGGGTCATTATTTCCTTAATAATTCTGATATTTAATGAGCTATAGTAGATCGTATGAAGTTACCCCTAATTACCTTACCACTAGTCTGCATATTTCAATGCTTTGAGGTCTACTTCTCTCCTCAAATACTCGGAATGTTCCGTCTTGTGTGTTGATATATGCCATAATTTTAAAGTTAACTTGACACCAAGTTTTAGTAGTTATATGTTACCATAGGGACGGATTTGACCTACCGTCATCAAGCGAGTATTTCAAAAGTCTCATAACGGCAATATTATCAAAAATTATTTTTAAATTTTTGCCATTATCCGCTCTAGCTAGTTCGTTTCTGACGGCGGTGTTGGCGGTTTCTTCGGGAATCTCTTTAGTACTTGGGCATCTATAAACGCTTCCAGCAAAGACTGTTGCAAAAAGACCGAGCATAGAAGCAGATATCACTGAGTATCCGAACTTCATGTTGACGCTGACTTGTTTGGGAGTTTACTTTTTCTATAGTGTATTTAACGGGTGGGCTTTTGCGATTGAGCTTCAGGAGACGTCAAGAGCTGGTATTAAACGTGATACAAGTTAGATCAAGGTTGATTATTGGATACTTTCTCTCTCATAAGATCGAAGTGTGAAGGGATGGAGTTAATGAATGCATCAGTCCATCAAGTACTTAAAGTTTTCTAATTATTAATTTGAAAACAATTAAAAGTCTATATTTGGTATGCGTTAATTAAATGAACTTTATTTGCTACAAGCTATGGTTACTGAAGGAATATTCAAATGAGCCTTAGCAATTTGGTACGTTCAAAGCTTGTTGACTGAGCCAATTCTCTTAGATGAGATAGAGAGAGTGTGTGAGAGAAGGGCATATTAATCGTGCGATTTGAGTTTTAGAATGTCTACCACATTAGGCTCCTTTCTGGCCCAGGCCACTACTTATAGGTAATGTGATGTCCTGGGTCTGACTCAAACCAATTGACTCGACTATCTTCCGCATTGTAAGGACATGAGGTATAAATTTCCATGACATGGCACATCTCCTACGCCGCCAAATGATACGCTAATCCCAATTTTTTGACCCATTCGCCACATGAGATAGCCGGCAAAGACGGGCTCTTCACCTTCCGGTGGTGCTAGTGTAACCGCTATGTACGCTCTGCAGATGTGGGATAGCTATGAAGAATCGCATCCGGATGCAAGCTCGAATCCAGCACAAACGTGCCCATAATCAACAATATCTCATTAATATCGATCTTGCCACCCTCATGATAGTCCACCACCCCCATATTAATACCGACCTCCTCGCCTCCATGACTGATATTGGTGGTACTTCAACAGCAAATGGCTGATTACCTCCGAAATTTTCGGCCATGGCCTACTGCAAATGACGGTGCGTACAACCGCAGGGATAAAATTAAGTCATATATTACAAAGTTCGGTTTTTGGTGTATGCTGAACTGTTGCTCATTAAGATTATACATCTTGAAGAGGGACAGGCGACTGGGGCGTGGAATGAGCTGAAGAAGATTTCTTACGTGGAAATGATGGGTCTGATGTCTTCGAGGTCTTTCGACCTCGGAATGTTGGAGGGCGCCAGGACCGAGATTTCGGCTAATTAGACAGGAATGATTCTAGTGTTGACTAATCAACGGCACTCCTGTCTGGATATGGGACGACAAGGTAGTCGACGCAAGGCCACAGCATATATCACTAGTGTCCTGGTTAGGCGAGCATGTATTTAGATTCATAGAGGTACCCACAATAAATAGATTCAGGATTAGTCTTATACTTTCTATCTATATACCTACAGCATAACATTGTATTAGTCGTTTCACTGCCACTCACTAAATACATCATCATCCACTTCTCATTACTCCGAAATGTGACTCCCGCATAGCTCACAACCATAACAGTTCCTCAGGCGGCAAAATATGGCTGGGATAGGCCACGACATAGCAAATACGTTCTGTCAAGACTTTTTCAAGATTTAATCAAGACCTTCAGGGAAGGAGTGAGAAGAGGCTAGAAAGACAGAGGGTGAATTTCCCGAGGTACACACAAGTCTGCAGCGCCCAGCTAGCCGGCCCCTTCAAACTCTTCAGAAGAGTCACTTTGGCTTTTGAATAGGTCCTAATGTCGGTATTATGAGGCCCGTACCCAGTGGTCTTTACGATTTTCCTGGCTGCCAAACTCCCACAAATGGTCATCGTTTCGTTGGCTGGAGAGGGAAGATATGAAGGAAAAGGGGCCCCTCTAAGCTTAAGTTTGATTGAAGAGTTATGAGGGTTTTGCCAATTGCGGGTAGCAGTATGTGAGGCAAAAGACGAGATATACTACTAGATAGCTACCGTTAGCCTATAGATAGAGAAGAACTGCATGAAATATCAAGCTATACGCTGAGATAGTACAATAAAATTATAGTGATAAATCTGGTTCAATTCCGTCGAGACACACTTACGACAATCACTCGTGGTGAGTGTTTTTGTTTTTTTTGTTTGTAATTTTAAGGTCCTAAACTACTGCTCCCGGTCCGCTATGGGTACAAGACCGGTGGAGCCGGAAGGGATCCCTGTGTTCTTTACCACATCCCAACTCATTCTAACTGCGTGAAACCACTACCTAAATTGTAGCCGGTTTAAAACAAAAACAAATTCTAACAGTCAAAATTAGTAAACAGAGGAAATTCCAATTTAACGGACCAGTATCAGCGCTCCTCACCCTGACTCCTTCCCTTTCACGGCTTCCACGATAAATATTATTCTTCGTCCATGCTGAGAGCTGTGGACAAGGTCGCAGGTTGGCTTTTGAAGCAGCCAGTTTCCTGCACAAACGTTGAAAATTCTTTGAGGCATTCGGGCCCTAGAAGAATTTTAAGAAATTGTTGGTATGGGGTAGTTTCCCTTAGTCGTCGGGTATGACGAGTGTAAAGTCTGCAATGCATGAAATGCGTTGCTGTAGTCTCCTCTCCGCACGAACACTTCATGTTCGCGGTTGTTGTTGTTATTGTTGTTGTTTTATTAAAGTCCTAAGCTAAAGCTCTAAATCCACTATGAGTACAGGACCGATGTTCACACCCAGGACTACATCTAAGACATACCCAGCTTGGCTCCACCGCATGAACCACCACAAAACCAGAAGTCAGTTAAAAATATGCGCCGCCGCAAACTCCTTCTCCCAAAACCGACAAAAGAAAAATATAATTGTAAAGAAATTTGAACTGGAAGCAATCCTTTTCGCCTCGATTCCTGTTTAGTCAGGTTTAGTTTCCTGACGAGTTATATTCGATTTCCACTGTGAGTAGGAGATGGATACACAGGAGAATACCCAAAACAATCGGTATCCTGCGCAAATTGTTTGAAACTCTCGGAGCACTTAGGTCCGAGTAGCTTGTGAAATATCCATACAAAAAAAAAAAAAAAAAGAGTAGCTTGTGTAGGAAGGCACTGTGTGACAATGACCCTCTGATTCGACACTTGATGTTTGCGTTGAGTCGAAAAAGTATGAAGAGGGAGGGGGTAGTTTCCTCCTCACAGGTGTTATGACACGCTTATTATGGCAAGCAAGAACTCAAGGTTTAAAAGTTAATAAAGCTAAAGAGCAAATCTCTGTCTACAAATTACATATATAATGAGATTTAAGTGAGTAGTAATGAAAATTTTATCAGTGCTTCCACAACGCCAAATCTCCGTGGGTATCCTAATCCAACGCCATATCTCTATACTAGATCCCTAGTCACTTAACAACAGGTGCACTCTGAGATAGCGTGTGGATCGTTGAAGCAACGATGGGAAGCCGCGAAATTGCTGTGACCCGTACGGGCTGCAATGAGATTTCGTAACTGTAGTCTGGAAAGCCCCAGTTCTGGTGGTTTGCGACGGCGCATGAGCAGATCTAGCTCATGATACCGTGGCGGACAAGTTTCATTCCACCAGCTGTCGAGCAAATTTTGTTGCTGACATTGCAATTTTTGATGTAAAAGTGCTGTCCTGGTGGTTGCTGGCTCAGTTTCCACGCTGGGAAGCGTTTGAAGGACGGATTTGGCCGCTGCGTCTGCTTCTTTATTACCATGTATTCCCGAGTGTCCTGGTGTTGTAATGGAAGATTTATGGAGAAGCGTAAGTTATTAGGCTTGTATTTAATGTCACCTAGTGTTACGGCGTGTGGGGACTGAAATAGGATTTGCCGTCTGCTGAAGATATCCTAGTAATGACTAGGCGAATAAGTACGAGTCGATATAGATAGGTACGGTTAGGGGTGTTAAACTGCTCGGGCGAGGCACAAAAGATTAGGACTGAAGAACGAGAGATCGAGAGGTCGAGACGAGTAGTATAATTATAGAGACTATGAGGATATAAGATTGAGAAGCTGAAGAACTACTTTAGAGTAACTCCAGCTTCCTTAAGTATAACTAATTACGTGCTAGATGTAAGTGAGGCTTTGAAAGATTATGTCATGGTAAGCCCCTCCAACTCTAATTATCAGATTTTTCTCGGATATCTTCTCATTGAACCTTTTCTTGAGAACCTTCTCCTTGAACCTTCTCCTTGAACCTTCTCCTTGAACCTTCTCCTTAAACCTTTTACTTGAACTTTCTCCTTGAACCTTCTTCAAGGATGCCTGGCCATAACACCTAGTGAAGCCAGTTGGGAGATTGAAGAGTCTGAAAACTGTAGTGGAGAGTTGTTGATTAAACCCACTTAGTATCAGAGCGCTTTTTAAACTAATTACTACATCTAAGTGAATGACACGATTCACTTGTTTCTGCTAAATAATTGGGAGGCTGGTCAGTGTATGAGTCGTCATGAATATGGCTAGTAATAATAGAACCTTATTACGTTCCGTATTATGCGACTCTTCATTGCCAAGTAGCGCCAATTTCAACACCAGGTACCCATTTTATTCTTACCTGAGCTGTTCCACATAGTTCGCGAAATTTTCGTACTTCCTCGTGGTTGGTCGAGAACCTGCTCGTGCTCAGTGCATTTATCGCATGTCAACTATCCGTCAACACATTGATGCGCTGCGTCGTTCCCTGTTAGACTCTATGAGTCAATTGAATAATGAATGAAGTAAAAGTAAAAAGTGTCAATTAATTCCTGGCTGCCATTTCTCTTACTGATACTGTCTAGATTATGTACGTCTAGAAAATGGCAAATGCTCTATGTGTCCCCAACTTGTCCCCATAGACCAAGTTTCTCATGGTTTGGAACAAAACATCTCTAGTCAGAACAGATAGAGTTCTTATTGCTACGGCCCAAGCGAAATACCTTTTTCCGAAACAAGTAACTCCAAGCTTTGTAAACCTAACTCCTTAAACTTTATATCTGACATTAATCGCCTTCAAACTATCCACAGTTTGATATTCCCTTCGCTTGGTATTCTTTCCCTCTTAGGTAATCCAATGCTACTTTTGGTGCTTCCTGTTCCCCCGTAATCTCTGCGTCCAAGGCCTCTCCACTGTAACGGCT